TGAATTAAAGAGACTTAACTGACATACATAGAACCTTACATCCCAAAGAAGAAAAATACACATTCTCTTCAAATGCTCATGGCAGTTTTTCAAAGATAGACCACATGATAGGACACAAAGCAAGCCTCAGCAAATTCAGGAAAATTGAAATAATACCAAACTTTTTCTCAGACCACAAGGCCTTGAAACTCGAAATCAACCTCAAAGAGAAACTTCAAAAACTTGCAAACTCATGGAGACTGAACAGTACACTATTAAACAATGAATGGGTCAATAATGAGATAAGAGAAGAAATCAAAAAATTTCTGGAAACAAATGAAAATGAACAGACAACTGTCCAAAACCTATGGCACACAGCAAAGGCAGTCCAGAGAGGGAAGTTCATAGCAATACAGGCTTACCTTAAAAAGATAGAAACATTTCAAATAAAAGACCTAACACTACAATTGAAGAACTGGAGAAAAAACAACAAATAAATCTCAGAGCAAGTAGAAGGAAGGAAATACTCAAGATTAGAGCAGAACTGAATGACATAGAGACAAAAAGAACAATTCAGAGGATCAACCAATCCAAAAGCTGGTTCTTTGAAAAGATTAATAAAATTGACAACTCTTTAAGCAGACTCATCAAGAAAAAAAGGGAGAGGACCCACATTAATAATATCAGAAATGAAAGAGGAGAAATAACAACTGATACCACAGAAATACAAATGATCATCAGATACTATTATGAACGATTATATGCCAAGAAATTTGAAAATCTTGATGAAATGGACAAATTTTTAGAAAAGTATAATCTTCCAACACTGAAGGAGGAAGAAACAGAAAGCTTGAACAGACCGATAACAGTTGGGGAAATTGAAGCAGTAATCAAGAAACTCGCAGCACACAAAATCCCAGGGCCGGACGGTTTCCCAGGAGTATTTTACAAAACATTTAAGGAAGAGCTAACCCCTGTCCTTCTCACACTATTCCAAAAAATCCAAGAGGAGGGAAGACTCCCAGACTCCTTCTATGAGGCCAGCATCACCCTGATCCCAAAACCAGATAAAGACCCTACAAAGAAAGAAAACTGGAGGCCAATTTCGCTGATGAACATAGATGCTAAAATCCTCAACAAAATATTGGCAAACCGCATCCAGCAATACATTCAAAAGATTATCCACCACTATCAAGTGGGATTCATCCCAGGGATGCAGGGATGGTTCACCATAAGCAAATCAGTAAATGTGATACAGCACATAAATCAAAGAAAAGACAAAAACCACATGATCATCTAGATAGATGCAGAAAAAGCATTTGACAAGGTACAGCACCCATTTATGATCAAAACACTCAGCAAAATGGGAATAAATGGGGCATTCCTCAACGTAATAAAGGCCATATATGAAAACCCTACAGCTAATATCATACTCAACGGGCAAAAACTGAAAGCTTTCCCACTAAGATCGGGAACATGACAAGGATGTCCGCTCTCAGCGCTTCTTTTCAACATCGTATTGGAAGTCCTAGCCAGAGTGGTCAGACAAGAGAAAGAGATAAAAGGCATCCAAATAGGAAAGGAGGAAGTAAAACTATCATTGTTTGCAGATGACATGATAGTGTACAAAGAGAACCCTGTAGACTCTACCAAAAAACTCCTCAACCTAATAAGTGAATTTGGCAAAACAGCAGGATACAAAGTCAACATTCAGAAATCAAAGGCGTTTTTGTACACCAGCAATGCAATAGAAGAAGAAGAAATCAGAAAAAATATACCATTCGATATAGCACGAAAAAAGATAAAGTACCTAGGGATAAATTTAACCAAAGACAGAAAAGACCTGTATGCAGAAAACTATACAGCATTGAAAAAAGAAATTAAGGAAGACACAAATAAATGGAAGCATATACCGTGCTCATGGATTGGAAGAATTAATATCCTCAAAATGTCCATACTACCCAAAGCAATTTATAGATTCAACGCAATCCCTATTAAGATACCAATGATGTATGTCACAGAAATAGAACAAACATTTCAAAAATTTGTATGGAACCATAAACGACCCCGAATAGCCGCAGCAATTTTGAGAAAGAAACACAAAGTAGGAGAGATCACAATACCGGACATCAAACTCTACTACAAAGCCACCATACTCAAAACAATCTGATACTGGCACAAGAACAGACCCATAGACCAGTGGAACAGAATAGAAAGCCCAGAAATAAGCCCAGGTCTCTATGGACATCTAATATTCGACAAAGGGGGCAGAAGCATACAATGGAGCAATAACAGCCTTTTCAACAAATGGTGTTGGGAGAGCTGGACGGCTACATCAAAAAATTGAAATTGGATCATCAGCTGACACCATACACAAAAATAAACTCAAGATGGATAAAAGATTTAAACAGAAGTTGCAACACTATCAAAGTCCTCGAGGAGAACATTGGCAGGAAACTCTCAGATATCCCACGCAGCAATTTTTTTCACTGATATGTCTCCTAAAGCAAGGGACATAAAGGAAAGAATAAACAAGTGAGACCTCATCAAAATAAGAAGCTTCTGCAAGGCGAAAGAAAACATCAGCAAAATGAAAAGGGAGCCAACTGTTTGGGAAAATATATTTGCTAATGATACATCAGATAGAGGTTTGATCTCCAAGATATATAAAAAACTCACCCTACTCTACTCCGAGAAGACAAACGATCCAATCAAAAAATGTGCAAAGGACCTGGGCAGATGTTTTTCTAAGGTGGAGATACAGAGGGCCCAGAGGCATTTGCAAGGATGCTCAGCATCACTAGCTATCAGAGAAATGCAGATCAAAACCACCATGAGGTACCACCTCACACCGGTCAGAATTGCCATCATAAACAGATCCACAAACAACATGTGCTGGTGAGGCTGTGGAGAAAAGGGAACACTAGTACACTGTTGGTGGGAATGCATACTGGTGCAGCCACTATGGAAAGCAGTGTGGAATTTCCTCAGAAACCTGAAAATGGAACTGCCTTTTGATCCAGCGATTCCCCTGCTGGGTCTATACCCTGAGAACACCAAAACGCCAATACAAAAGAACCTATGCACCCCAATGTTCATAGCAGCACAATTTACAATAGCCAAGTGTTATAAGCAACCTAAATGCCCATCAGTAGATGATTGGATCAAAAAATAATGGTACATATACACAATGGAATACTACGCAGCCGAAAAAAAGAAGTACTAAACTTTGCGACAGCATGGATGGAACTGGAGAGCATCATGCTAAGCAAGATAAGCAGGGAGCGAAAGACAAATACCATATGATCTCACCTATAAGCGGAACCTACCCAACAATGCAAAGATGCAAGGAAAATATGACCAGCAACACTGAAAGGAAAAGAAATCAACAGAGACAAGGGAGAAGAGTGGGGCAGGGAAAGGGAAGGGAAGGAGAAAGTCAAGGAACATATAGCAATGACTCATGGACAAAACCAAAGGGGAAGAGCTGAGGGAGGGAAGGTAGGAGGGGACAAGGGAAAGAGGTGGGGGGGGAGGCAGAGAGAAATGTATGTAAAAAGTAAATAAATTAAAAAGAATAAAATTTAAAAAAATGAATCAAAAACTTAAATGTTAGACATGAAAACATAAAAATACTAGAAGAAAACATGGGCAGCAAAATCTTGGACATTGCTAGCAGCAGTATTTTATCAGATATATCTCCCCAAGCAATGGAAATAAAAGAAAATATAAACCAAAAGGACTACATAACTAAACAGTTTTGGCACAGGAAAGGAAAACATCAACAACATATAAAAGACAACCCACAGAATGGGAGAACACATTTGCCAATACATCTGATAAGGGGCTAATATCCAAAATTTATAAAGAGCTTAAAAAACTCAACACCAAAAATGATCAAACAACGCAATTTAAAAATGGGCAAAGTCTTGTATATACACTTCTCCAAAAAGGACATACAATTGGCTAGTAGACATATGAAAAGATGATCAACATCACTAATCATCAGAGAAATGCAAATTAAAATCACAATGAGATATCATCTCGCATCTGTCAGAATAGGTATGATCAGCAAATCAACAAATATCAAGTGCTGATGAGGATATGGAGAAAGAGGAACACTCTTGCACTGTTGGTGGGAATGTAGACTGGTGCAGCCACTGTGGAAAGCAGTATAGAGATACCTCAGAAAAGTAGAAATGGATCTGCCTTGTGACACAGCAATCCCACCTCTGGGAATATATCAAAAAGAACCCAAAACACTAATTTGAAAGAACATAAGCACCCCTATGTTCACTGTGGAAGCAGCCCAATTGTCCATCAATAAATGAGTGGATAAAACAACTATGGGACATGTACGCAATGGAATACTACTCGGAAGTAAAAAAGAATATTTTACCCTTTGTGACAGTATGGATGGACCTGGGGAAAATTATGCTAAATGAAATAAACCAGTCAAAGAAAGACAGATACACATGATTTCACTCATATGTGAAATCTAATGAACAAACTGAACTAACAGGCAAAATAGAGACAGACTCATAGATGGAGAGCAGGTTGACAGCTAAGCAGGGATGAGAGGTTGGGGGTGGAGGAATTGAACAGAAAGGAAAGAGGACTCATGGACATGGACAACACAGTGGTGATTGCTGTGGGGAAGGGAGTATAAGTGGACTAAATGGTAATGAAAAAAGTACAATAAAAATAAATTTAAAAAGCCTTAGCTGGTGTGGCTCAGTGGATTGAGCACTGGACTGTGAACCAAAGGGTCACTGGTTCGATTCCTAGTCAGGGCACATGCCTGGATTGCGGGCCAGGTCCCCAGTGGGGGGCACTTGAAAGGCAACCACACATTGATGTTTCTTTCCCTCTCTTCCTCCCTTTACCTCCTTGAAAAAATAAATAAATACCATATTTTAAAAATAAATAAATTTAAAAAAACCCAGAAGCTTCTTGAAGAAAAAAAAAGAAAAACTAAAGGGAAGACTACTTGGGGGCTAACGAGGACTTTCATTCCTCACACTGTATCTCCTCCATCCAACAGATACTTGATATTTATTCACTTGCTCGCCTTCCTATTTCAGGTAAAGGGGTCTGTAAACCAAGAACAAAATATTATAACCACTAGTACACTCTGAAAAAAATTTATTCTTTATAATTTGTGCTCTTTTAGTACTAAATGGAAAAATAACAATGTTATTCCACTTTCAATTTCTGCTAATGGTTTTCATTTAAAAATTGAATTCTTATATATGCAGATACTTGGCACCAAATTGATAAAAACAGATGGAACTCTCACACTAATGAGGAGACTTAATAAAGTGTTATTTTCCATTCAAAACAAGGTAATTGACTCTATCTGTGGGCTGAATATTATTTTTAAATATTTCAACAGTTAAAGCATCTAAAATGTAAATTAATTGTGGGTCAAGGTCTGTCAAGTTCATACAAAGAAATGAGTATTTTAGAGAGTAACAAGCAAATAGTATTAGGCTGGTTATTGAAAAATCATGGTTTGTAGGACAAAATAAATACACAAAATCTCAAAATCCCTTGAAACTCACATTGGTTTGCCACATTTGACATTTACTGGCAAAACAAAAGTCATGAAATGCTTTACATAGTTTCAGCAGTTCACTGCCTGCACAAATTTTAAAACAATAGTTTATGGTATTAAAAACCATTAAGTGAATATGTATAGCTTTTCAAACATAATATTTGAGAATTTTCATTTAAAGTATAATGAAGTGAAAAGTTTTTGATTTTACTATGTTCATGCCAATATTATATTGAGAAAGTGAGGCACTCATGCTAAAGAAAGAAGAGGGAAATCAGTACTTAGCAAATTCTATGACGATGTTATAAAACGTGACACAACTTTATGAATGTTAGCAGGAACAGTGCCAATTAAACTGTCTCTCTTGCTCATCTGTCAGACAATACAAGAAAAATGCATATCTCTGACAAGTTCTTTCCTTCTACCTGTCATTGGAAACTAACAGCCTCAATTCTCAAAAGGAATAGTTGGAGAGGGAAAAGAATGTGATAGAACACACGAAAGTTAACTTAATACTAGAAGAAATCTCTTTACTACCCCTAGAAAATATAATCAACTAGAAATAGATAGAAATATAGATTCGTATTACCTTATAAGCATTCATCACTTTAACGGCTGTAAATACACCAGTCTTTTCATGGAGACCCTGAAACACAGGATAGTAATAAAGATCAAATTCTGGCTATACAATCAAGCAATCAAGCAGAAAAATGAAAAATAATAAAATTAAGTAAGATCAAACACTATAACCAATCATAAAATATAAAATATTGTATAGAGTAAATGTAAAGTATTACATATAGAGCAAAAATATTAAATTTTGAACATTTCCAAGAAATGCCAACTATTTCACTCAAAAAATCAAGCAAGCTTATGGAGTAGGTTTGCTTTTTTCTTTTTTATTACAGTATTGTTGACACTTAATATTATATCAATATTAGTTCAGGTGTACAACATAGCAAATTTACATTTATATACTTTATGAAGTGATCACCATGATGTCTAATCACCATATGTTATCATGCAAATTTATTATAATATTATTGATTATGTTCTCTATATTGTACATTACATACCTATGACTATTTCTTTTAAAATTAGGAGTTTTTATGTCTTAAACCCCTTCTTCTTTTTCACCCAGTCCTCCAAACAGCCTCTACTCTAGCAACCATCAGTTCATTCTCTGTATTTATCGGCCAGTTTCTCTTGTGTTTATTAATTTATTTTGTTCAATAGATTCTACATATAGGTGAAATCATATGGCATTGTCTTTGTTTGACTTATTTCACTAGCATAACACCCATTTACATCTATCCATGTTGTTACAAATGGTAATATTCCATTCTTTCTCATGGCTGAGTAATATTCTATTATATATGTGTATGTGTGTATGTGTATATATACACAAGGTTGGCCAAAAAGTCCACTTATATATGCATATATATGCATATATGTGCATATATATGTATGCACATATATACATATGTGCCACATATTTATCCATTCATCTATTGATGGAAAATTAGGTTACTTCCATATTTATATCTTGGATATTGTAAAGAATGTTGCCATAAGCATAGAGGTGCATGTATCTTCTCTACTTAGTTTTTTTGTTGTTGTTGTTTTCTTCAGGTAAATACCCAGAAGCTGAATGGGAGTTTACTTCAGAGAGTTTACTTTATTATTTGCTTTCTTCTAATTTCTTTGGAATTTATTTGTTGAGGAACCTCCAAACATTTTATGTAGTGGCTGCACCAATTGACAATCCCATTGACACTGCACAAAAATTCTCTTTGCTCCAGATTCTCACTAACACTTGTTATTTGTTGTCATTTTTGATAATCGCCATTTTGACAATGAAGTTACACGTCATTGTCATGTTGATTTTCATTTCCCTGAAGATTAGTGATGTTGAACATCTTTTCATGTGTCTGTTCACCATCTGTACGTCTACTTTGAAAAATTGTCTATTCAGATACCCTGTCTATTTTTTCATCATGTCATTTGTTTATTTTAGATTTTATTTATTTTTAGAGAGAGGGCAAGGGAGGGAGAAAGAGAGGAAACATCAGTATGTGGTTGCCTCTCGCAGGCCCCTACTGGGCACCAGACCCTCAATCTAGGCATGTGCCCTGACTGTGGATTGAACCTGCAATCCTTTGGTTCACAGGCTGGTGCTCAATCCACTGAGCCACACCACACAGGGCTGTTTTTTTTTTTTTATGTTGACTTAAAAAAAAATTCTTTATATATTTTGAATATCAACCCCTGATACCATTTGCAACTATCTTCTCCCATTCAGTAGATGGCAATTTCACATTGTTGATGTTTTTCTTCACTGTGCAAAAGATTTTTAGTTAGCCCTAGCTGGTATGGCTCAGTGGATTGAGCGCCAGCCTGCGAGCTAAAGGGTTGCCAGTTCAATTCACAGTCAGGGCACATGCCTGGTTCGCAGGCCAGGTCCCCAGTAGGACGCCCGTGAGAGACAACCACACATTGATGTTTCTCTCTCTCTCTTTCTCTGTCCCTTCCCCTTTCTAACAACAAATAAATAAAATCTTTAAAAAAAGAACATTTTTAGTTATATATAGTCTTATTTGATAGTTTTTGCTTTTTTTTCTTTGCCTGAGAAGTCATATTCAAAAACTATTTCTAAGGCTGATGTTTAAGAGTTTAATACCTGTGTTTTCTTCTAGGAATGTTATGGTATCAGGTCTCACTTTTAAGTCTTTAATCCATTTTGAGTTTATTTTTGTATATGGGGAAAGTAGTCCATTTAATTGATTTTGCATATAGCTGTCCAGTTCTTCCAACACCATTTCTTGAACAGGTTTTTTCTCCATTACGTATCCTTGCCCACTTTATTGTAGATTAATTGATCATATAAGTGTGGATTTATTTCTGGGGTCCCTATTATGTTTTATTGATCTATATATATTTTTGTGCCAGTATCATACTTCTTTCACTTCCATATTTTGTAGTATAATATACTTTGAACATGATGCCTCCAGCTCTATTCGTCTTTCTCATGATTGCTTTGGCTATTTGGGGTGTACTGTGTTACATACAAATATGAGGATTTATTTTTATTTCTGTGAAAAGTATCATTGTTATTTTGATAAAGACTACATTTAATCTGTATATGGCTTTGAGTAGTACTAATATTATATATATATTAATCCTTCCAATCCAGAAAAGTATGTCCTTCCATTTATTTGTGTCATCTTCAATTTCTTTCATCAATGTGTTATAGTTTTCAGAACTGAAAACTCCAAAGGAGGATATATCTTTTAACTCCTTGGTTAAATTGAATTCTATGTACTTTATTATTTTAAATGTAATTGTAATTAAATTGTTTACTTAGAGAGTTTGTTATTAGTATACAGAGACACAAGTGATTTCTGTATATTCACTTTATATCATGCAATTTTACTAAATTTGTTTACTAGTTGTAACAGTTTTCCATTGAGTCTTTAGGGATTTTTATATATTGCATCATGTCATCTGAAAATAGTGACAGTTTCACTTCTCCCTTTCCAGTTTGGATGCCTTTTATCTCTGTTTCTTGTCTGATTGCTGAGGCTAGAGTTTCCAATATGATGTTGAGTAACAGTCATGAGAGTGGACATACTGGTCTTCTTCCTAACCTTAGAGGAAAAGTTTTCACTTTTTTACTATTGAGAATAATGTTAGCTGTGGGTATGTCATATATGGCCTTTGTTATGTTGTGATATGTTCCCTCTACACCCACTTTGTTGAGAGTTTTTTTATCATATATGGAAGTTATATGATGTCTGATGTTGTTTTCTGCATCTGTTGAGGTATTCAATAATTATATGTTTTTTTCCTTTGTTTGTTATTGTGGCAAATGATGATGACTGGTTAGTGGATACTGAACCATCTTCATACTCATGAATTACATCCTGCTTGACCAAGCTGATGATCATTTTCATGTATGATTGTTCAATTCAGTTTGCTAATATTTTTTGAGAATTACTGTATCTATGTTCATCAAGGATATTGGCCTGTAATTTTTCTGTTTTGTAGTGTCTTTGTCAGGTTTTGGTATCAGGCTAACACAGACATCAAAAAATATTTTTGAAACCATCCTTTCCTCTTTAATTTTTTGGTGGACTTTCAGAAGAGTAAGTATCTGTTCTTTATTTTTTTATTTTTTTAATTTAATTTTAATTTATTTTTTCAAATACATTTGTCTCTGCCTCCCCCCCACCACTTTCCCTTGCCCCCTCCCGCCTTCCCTCCCTCAGCTCTTCCCCTTTGGTTTTGTCCATGAGTCCTTGCTATATGTTCCTTGACTTTCCCCTTCCCTTCCTTTTCCCCGCCCCCCCCTTCCCTCTTGTCTTTGTTGATTTCTTTTCCTATCAGTGTTGCTGGTCTTATTTTCCTTGCATCTTTGTATTGTTGGTTAGGTTCCGCTTATAGGTGAGATCATATGGTATTTGTCTTTCATCCCCTGGCTTATTTAGCTTAGCATAATGATATCCAGTTCCATCTATGCTGTTGCGAAGTTTAGTAGTTCTTTTTTTTCTTTCTGCTGCGTAGTATTCCATTGTGTATATGTACCATGATTTTTTGATCCAATCATCTACTGATGGGCATTTAGGTTGCTTCCAAGACTTGGCTATTGTAAATTGTGCTGCTATGAACATTGGGGTGCATAGGTTCTTTTGTATTGGCGTTTTGGTGTGCTCTTCATTTCTTATACTGTTCTTAACATCTCCTGTTTATTACCTTCCTACCAATTTGATTGTTTATTCCCTGTACCTGTCCCCTATTATCCCCCTTCTCCCATGCCAGGAAGATAAATTCCCATAACCTGTGGTTGTAAAAACCAGTGGGGGTTGGGACTGCAGAAGAAACTGCTGGATGTTCAGGAAACTCAGCGTAAAGGGACCACATGGTCTTAAAACATACACAAACCCACTCACTCTGGGATACAACACCAGGGCAACAGCTGGAAGGGTAACAGCTGGAAGGGCACCAGTTGCATATGGGGAGTGAATGAAATGACTGGAAATGGGTCAAGTACTGGGCAAACCCCCAGAATTCAGGCAGTGGCACAGTCTTCTTTCCAATCCCTCCCTACACACAGAGCCATAAAGTAGTAAAGCGGGTTGCCCTATACCCTGGTGATTATGTAAGGCTCCACCCCACACAATTTACAGTTGCCTTTTATAGGGAATTAAAGCAGCTGTACCTAATACACAGAAACAAACATAGTGAAGCGGCCAAATAGAGGAGTCACAGAAATATGTCCCAAATGAAAGAACATAACATAACCAAAGGAAAATAACTAAACATAAAAGAGCCAACCTATCAGAGGCAGAGTTCAAAACACTGGTGACCAGGATGCTCAAAGAACTCACTGAGTATGGCAACAAAATAAAGGGAGAAGCAAAGAATACATCAAGTAAAATAAAGAAAAGTCTACAGGGAACCAACAGTTCACGGAATGTAACTGAGATTCAAATCAACAATTTGGGACATAAGGAAGAAGCTGGTGTGGCTCAGTCGACTGAGTGCTGGCCTGCAAACCAAAGGAAGAAATAATCATTCAACCAGAACAGAAGAAACAAGAATTCAAAAAATTGAAGATGCTATAAAAAGACTTTGGGACATCTCCAA